AGGAGTGCCTGGTGATGCGGGACCCGCTGACAAAGAGATCCAGGTGAGAGGCCGGGCCCGCGCCTCCCTTCGCCCCCGCCGCGGCCCGGCCGCCACTTTAACCAACTTTCTCTCTTCTCTCCGCATCCCCTCTCCTGCCCGGGCTGCGGGGCTCAGGGGCTTCGGGTTCGTCACGTTCATGGACCAGGCTGGCGTCGACAAGGTCCTGGCCCAATCCAGACATGAACTGGACTCCAAGACGGTGAGATGACTTCCCTCATCTCAGGGGTGCGTTTGCCGGCGGAGCGGCTGCGCTCGGAGCAGCCGTCGATTGCGGTGTTTGATTTCCAGTTAGAGGTTGTAAACTATCGATTCCTGATACGGATTGATCGCCCCGCTCGCCGGTGGGTGGCCCCGCTGCCCCCCAAGCACCGGGCTCACCGTCAGCCCGGGGCCAACGTCCCGGCGTGGGTCTGCGGATCCTGGGGATGGTTTTGCTCCCACCCCATCGGTCGTAAGGCCCCTCTGAGGAGTGATTGCGGCCCTCTCGCAGCCGGGACACCTGAGCGCGTTTTGGGCCGAGGGTTCATACCGGCAAAGGGATGTGGCTGCCTCTGGGGAGAAGGGAGCCGCCCCCCCCGCTCCCTCCCCAGGGGTGCTGTCCCCCACCGCCCAGGCCCCGCTTGCCCCGGCCACGGTGGCCCAAGCCCTCCCCTCGCAGAGAGCCTTCGTGCCGTGCGCCCCAGAGGCTCGCCCGTGGTTTCCCCGGGTGAAGTTTTTGTAACGGTCGCGGAGGTTTAAGACTTTATTGTCTCCAAGTGTGGCCAGCGCCCGCCCATGTGGGCCACCACCAGCCTCTTGGAGCGGCCGTAGCTCCGGTCCTCGCTCTGCAAGCAGGGGCTGATTAGGAGCCCTGGCTGGGCCAGCAGAAAGATTTCGGTGGCTCCCTGGGTCAGTGGCGTCTCGTACCCGGTCCTGCCTTGCAAATCTGCGGTGCTCGGGAGATGTGCAGGCTGTTTCGGGGGGTGGGGGTGAGGTGTCTGAGTGGGAGGTCCCTTCTCTGTAGTTTTTGCGACTTGCCTTCCCCTGAATTCCTTTTCCTTCTTGCTGCCCTGGGGTGAAGGTGAGGGTAGGGATGGGGGAGCGGCGGGGGCTGCGAGGGGGTGGCACGGTGAGGGGAGACGTTCCGGCTCCGGGCACGGGCTGCTGAGGAGTCCAAACGCGCAACTTTATTTCTTGCAGCGCGTGGCTCGGGCATCCTAGCCTTTATCTCGGCAGAAGGGAGAGGGCGGGAGAGCGAGACCCCCTTTCTTAGGGTTTACGGCGTGAGTTGCAGCGAGATTTATGTCTGTTCCTGTTTAACTGCCTGGATCGCTCCCTTTGATGTGCACAGGTCCTTCCTCCCCACGGGAGCTCCCGGTTAAACCTACCCCAGCCTTCCTGGCCCAGGCTGGGTCCCCAGGACTCCCAGCCCTCCTCCTTTCAGGAGTGATGTAAAGTGAGTTTTGCTCTGGGGGAGGGTTATGGTGAAGTGTTTTGAGGAGGGCCCAGGGCTTTCTTTTTCTCTCTCTCTCTCTTTTTTTTTTTTTTTTTTTTTTTTTTTTTTTTTTTTTTTTTTTTTTT